CTTTAGTGCCTTTTGTTTGGATCTAACAAGCACTATGAATGGGGTTCCATGGGATTAACATTATGATCTTTACACAAAAGCTACTAATGTATCTAGGCTTTTTCATTACCCAAGACCTCTAGAACCTCATCTTGTTACACCACTCTATGTAGCAAGTTCTACTTTTTGGACTTTTTCTTTCCTTTTATGTTACCATATTGATGTACATACTTTAATGCTTAAGAAAACCTGCTTGGTTTTCTTGCATATAATTTGGAGATTTATCCTGAAAACTTCTGAACAGGACCTCCTTTATCAATTTACTGGTATTTATTTTTAGGAAATCAATTGTTCCTTCAGTATTGTATTTTCCATCTATTATTACGAGCTTATGAATATTGTATTTTTGTTAATTATTTTGGATACATCGTACTAACTGTTTTAACGTATTTGATAACATTTAGGGCATCATTTATAGGGCAATTTGACATTTATGGTACAATGTGGCAATACGAGAATTCTTGCAATATGTGTGCAATGAAGTGCTTGGTAATTTCTTAAGGTAATTATAGAATATTTGGGAGACATGTATCACATGGAGAGTACTGCAGCATATGTTTAGGACACCCCTCTCCAGATTCTATAGTCATTGTGGAATATGTAGTAGTGAAGAAGTTAATAACCATTTGAACACTGTATAATTGGCATACACTCAAATACAACATTGGATAATCAAATTTCTTGTGTTAATCATTAAGTGAAAACATCCTCTGGGTCAGGAGGATGACAGTATCAATTAATTAGTTTTAGAACTGAAAAAGTCTTGTAAATCACAGGCAGGGTCTGCAATTTTAAAATGTTATTACTTTCTATGGTACACATGACTTAAATGTGTAATATAATTGGTTCTGCTTCTTTGGAAGTTCTTCTTGGCATCTACAGTTTCATTTTCTAAAGACTTATTTGTTAATGTATGGAGAGACTCGTCAGAGGGTTGTCCTACTTAAACACAGCAGCCTTTTGTACAACAAGAAATATGTAACAATCATCCTCTATTTCCCAAGACTCAATCCTTAATAAATGCCAGTAATATCGTGGTGACTGGCATAATTTGTCCTCCTACTAATAATCTAAAGTACATCTATTTTTAGATAGGTTTGGCTTATTTGCAGAACTGTAGACTCATATATACAATAAAAAATGTACATCTGTAGAAATATAATCCTATAGTATTAAGAGGGGTTGGGCGGCTATTAATATTAAGGGGATATTTTCAGTATTATATTATCTTATAAATTTAACAAATATGAGTTATGGAAGGTATGAGATCAGTGATCGAAATTGCACTACTGGCCAATAGTGCCAGTTACACAGCTTGTGTGCATGTAATGATGTGATCGCATTGTGCTGCCTCAGGACAGTTCCCTGGTGTCTCTAGACGTGGAACACTGGGCATTCTAAACAAGAGACTGTCCAGTTAAAGTCAGAACCATTGGAAGGCCTGGTTGTGGCAATCTGATACTGAGTCTAACTAGTCTACAATCAGGTAGTCTCTGGGGTATATATATTTCGATTTACTGACCTTTCTGTAGAAATTCCTTATCTCTTAAGCCTGCTCACTGCCTGTGACCATTAAGGCCAACTGGGCATCACAGATCCATGCTTCTGTCTTAACTTTAAAAAAAGATCCTTATTAACCAAACTCTCTTATACCATTAATGTGTTTTAGCTGCTATGGCTAAACATGTGATGTTTTTATGTAGTATGAAATATAAACTATAACGCATCATTACATTGTTTTGCACTTTCATTGGAATTTTAGCATTTACCTGTATAAATAGGCGAGCACCAGCTATGTCAATAAATATAATACCACTGCAATCAATTATAAGTGACATGATCTCCGTATCTAAAATAATTAATAAATAAAGCGTGTATTAACAAATCTAATATTGCATATCATAGGGTCACTGCAAACATAATATTCATAATTAAACACACATTCACACATCACTATACACATAATAACACACATCCACAGACACACCCATTATCACATAGACACAAACTCACACATAGGTGCAAAATGTCTTAAACTTCCCTGGCAATTTTCTCACTATTGGTATAATTGATTAACGCTGGCTTAATAAAATGGAGAAAGATACAGTAAATATTAAAAAGAGAAAATATCTTAGCAACAAAACTGATTATGTAAGGAAGCAAGTAAGTATTTTTTCAAAAAAACAAACAAAAGGGAATAGTACCCTGCAGGTAAACATTATCCTGTAAAAGAAAGAGAAAATAGGTACTTTAAAAGCAGAGAGACTGGTCAAAGTATATAACACAGAATGTATAGAGTAAGAAGAAGAAGCTCTAAAGTAGTCATGAGATGTCAAACAAAAAGGACATATAGTGGGTGAGAAAGGAAAAGAATCTGTGACATGAATAAATAGAAACAATATCCTTCCACAGAGTCTATACACCAGTAGAACACTTCAGGGGTGTCCAAGGGCATAACTCCTTTACGTAACAAAAAATGAAAAAATAGCACCAAGTCACAAAAGAGTGAAAAGATGCCCTCTGGATATGTTTAAACAGTTTAATATGGTAAACAAACTTCCTCTAATAAGAACTACAATAGTAGCAACTTAAGGATCAGGCATCAAAAATAACAAATGTTTAACAATGTAATAATAAAAAAGAGATACAAGTCTTGTAAAGGCTTCCCCTGCACCTAAAACCTATAATTGGTAACAGCCAGGAGAAGATCTATAGGAAGACTAAAGTGAGAAAAGGAAAGGCTTTAATCATCTGGCAAATATGCTCACAATAGTCAATCCCCTATCGATCTAATGCCCTCACTTGTGTAGCATAAATAACCAGTAGGTATGATATAAAATACAAAACGAGTTCTACATAGAGAATATATAAAAAGTTATACATAATAATAATAAGAATACATCTCTTATAAACCTGCAGAGGTATATATTAATCAAGTATCCATGGAATTTAAAGAGATAGGAAGACAGATCATAGTAAGAGTAAGCCTCTCTCCCTGGAGAAACTCACTAGATAGCTAAAGGGGAATATATAGCCAGAAGAATTATTAAACCATAATGAAACCATAATACATAAATAAATAAATAAATAATTTTAATCAAATGTGAAGTGCCCATAAAAACTGAAAAAAACCTGATGTGCGTTTCAGTGCACAGCTACATGCACCTTTGTCAGGGGCACACCTGATGAAGATGAATGTAGTTGAGCACCGAAACGCACGTCGGGTGTTTTAAATCCCATGATTATCTTTAAGGGAGTCCCTAATTTAAAATTAAAACTGGTAAAGAATCATATTAAGGAGGGAATGAAAACTGCTTTCCTAAATAAAGAAAGTGTTTTATAGGCATGGAACCTACCAAACCTCAAGAAGTAAAAAACAACATGTAACCCAACTCAAGATCCACACATAAGAAAAGAATCCTTTAAAATAAAAGACCTAATCCCATACCACTCTATGAATGTAATCTACTTATTGATTTGTCCTTGTGCAATTTATTATGTAGATCACATGATGTAGATCAACAGGCATTACATAAACAAGTAGAGAAGCATATTATGCTTGGTAAAAAGAAGTTTGAAGATCTCAATGTGTCCCAATAGGTTAAAATTGCACACAATGACATTTTTAGTGATACAGCAATAGTCAATTGGAGAGGGAATAACTTTATCAAAAAACTTGGCCAATCAGAGATGAGTTGGATTTTTAATTTGAATATCATTAAGCCTTTTGGATTCAATATAGATTTTAAATTGAGCCATTTTAAAAATAATAAATAGTAAATATTATTATTTAATTCTATTAAATTAAGGGTTTCATAATTTACTAATTGTAATAAATTGGTGTGATCAAGGTACTTCAGCTTTATTAAGGTTATATTCATCATTAAAGGAACATAAAATCTTATACATTGTGAGATGGGTATGTCTTTTTTGGTAATTGGGTGTCCAAATATATTAGCCAATATTTTCTCAGTGCATTATTCTTGTGTTTTTATTATGTTTGGTAATATTGGATGTTTTGTTTTTTTTCCCTTTCAAATCACGACATTCATAGTAACCTAGAGGTATGAGGGACCGTTAGAAAATATTGAGTGTTTTTAATGTTTTCTAGCAAATACACTTTTTAGATCAATATATGTATTTTTCTATACACTATTTTTGTTATCCAGTTTGGGAAATTATTTTGATAATCTTGCACTAAATGAATTTGATATAGGATGGGGCACTTAATACATTAGTTTTTATATGTACATTGTCTCGTTATATCATTTCTGCATTCTCCCATCCTTTTCTTTTTAGTCTGCTTTGATGCTTTTTCTTGTGGATTGAGGCGCATGAAAATTATGTTGATAGCTGATGAAGAAGAAGAGAAGAAGTGACATGTGAGGTCGCAATACGTCATTTCCAGAAGCTGGGGGAAAGGGCAATAAGTGAGGACGTAGTCCTTGGCTATTATAGATCATGTGATCCCGGGAGGGAAAAACTAGATGGATTTAAAAGCTGGACACTTGGTGATAGGATTAAAGCGGCACTGTCATGCCGAACTTACCTTTCTTTAATCGATTCCTCTTCTCTCCCTCTGTCAGGATCTGTTCTTCATTTCTTCCTTTCTGCTCTAGTTTTCTTTAAAACATAAGACAAAGTAGTGACTACTTTGTCTTATGGAGGTTTCCTACGCCCGACCATCGCTGACCAGTGGAGGAGCAAAGTGTGCTTCATTTCCGGTGGTCAGAGCAATTTTCCCACAAATCATTCCTATTTTCTCAGTGATATACAAAACTATTAATTTACCCCATTTTGTGTTGTCTTTGAGAACTGGTGAAGGTCCATTCAGAAGAAAGGTAGTGTGCTGCCTTAAAAACGCATCAGCCCATAAAATCTAAGCCAAGAATTATTAACAGGCTATCATGAATCTGATTGTACCATCTCACAATCTTTCACTTCACAATCTGTACATGCAAAATTGTACTATTGTTTGTCTAGTTTGTGATTTTTTTTTTGCCCCAAACAAGTTATAGGGGTATACAAATTTTATTATAGCAGTGCTAACCAATGCATGGCTGATGGGCCACGATGGGATTTTATGCGGTCTGCCGCATATAATCCCACAGACAGGCCTTTGATCCCCTTCCCCTTATGCAGAGCCAGCTCTATCCAAGACCCGGCCTTGCTGTGTGTCTCCACAAGGCGGTGGGAAGATCAAAAAGTCCCAAACTGGCCGAAAGGCACTTGTCTGTGGCAGCTGGCAGGGGAGGTGAGGGAAGAGGAGGAGCAGGGAGGCTGAATGTTCCTCCCGTGAGCTTTGCAATTTGGAGAGTCACCGTGGATTTCCATGGCAACATTCCACCAGGGCCATAAAGTGTTGTTGCTTTTTTACATAAAGAAATTAAATATATATGCATATTGGCTTCCAACTCTACACACAATATTTAAGCCCTATAACATTCAACACAGTGACACACTGCACCCCTTATACACACTACACCCCTCACTCACACACATTGCACCACTCCCACACTGCACACCTTACACACAGTGCACCCCTCACACACACACACACACACTACACCTTTCATACACCCTGCACCCGTCACACACAAACCTCACACACAGACTGCACCCCTCACACATACACACTGCACCTCTCACATACGAACACACACATGGAATCTCTTACACACTGCACCTCTCACACACACACTGCACCCCTCACACATGTATTGAGTCTCTCACACACTGCACTACTCATACACACATTGCACACATTGCATCTCCTTTAAACACAACATCTCAATTTCTACATGAGCCTTGGGCCATTATATCCTAAAGGACACTAAGTGTCTCTTTACTAAATAGATGTTATCGTGTATGGCTGCCACACCTTTATAAGCAGACTTAATAACTATAATTATGACATAAGGTAGTATGTAAAGAATTTATAACAGTGCAGACTTCGGATAAATCTTTTTTTCTATGTGGCCCTGTATTATAGTGCTTCACTATAATTTTTTAATGTTACACTTACAAATAATCTATAGTTTCACACATACCTAAACACAAATAATTAGGGGTTATTATTAATAGGGGTAGGGGTAGGTTAGGGGTAGCGTTAGGTTTAAGGTTAGGGAATTCCCAAAGCCCCAATTTAGCAAAGTGCCTAAGTTGCCTAAGTCCCAAATTTCGGAAGTGCCCAACCAAACCAAATTTTTTGCCCATGCACATCCCTAGTGTTTATGTGTGTGTGAGTTTTTGTCCATAGATATACATAGCTTGAGTTTATGACAGGCCCAGACTGGCCATCGGGAACACCGGGCAAATGCCCGGTGGGCCGCGATGGCCGTGGGGCCGAGGGCGACAGGGAGATCACAGAATCTCCCCGGCCGGCCCCTGCAGGGCCAGCGCTATCCGAGCGCCAGCCCCGCTGTGTGCCTCCATGGGCCGATGGGGAGATCACAGATCTCCCTCACCGGCCCAGAGGCAGGGAGATGCAGCCGCCAGCAGGCTGGGTGAGGGAGGTGGGAGGAGACAGGACCCGGCGGAGCTCTAACAAGCAGCTTCGCCCGGTCCTCTCGCAGGATTCTGAGCGTTGCCGCGGCAACGCTCAGATCTCGCGAGAGTGAACTCTAACCTGCAGGTTAGAGTTCACTCTCACCACTGGGCCACCAGGGAAGGATGGCACCCCTCAAGGCTCACCCTCCCAGGCAGAACGGCTCCCTCCCCCTCCCAGGCTAAAGGTAAGAAGGGAGGGGGGGGGGACATAACTTTTTTTTTTAATTATTATTATTAATTATAATAATATTATAATTATTAATAAAATAAAAAATATATATTTCAAATAATTTCCCTAACAGCCCCCCCAGACACACAAAGCACCCCACAGACACACACAGCACCCTACAGACACACACACAGCCCCACAGACGCACACGGCACCCCACAGACGCACATTTACAGACACACACAGCACCCACACAGACGCACACAGCCCCAGACACACTTTCCACCCCACACACACACAGCACCCCCACACACAGCGTCCACACACACAGCACCCCACAGACGCACCACCCCAGACACACACCACCCCCAGACACACACAGCCCCCCCAGACACACACACAGCACCCCACAGACACACACACAGCCCCCCACAGACACACACAGCCCCACAGACACACACAGTGCACCCACAGACACACAAGCGCACCCCAGACACACAGCCTCCCCCAGACAGACACACACAGCACCCCACAGACACACACAGCACCCAGACACACACAGCACCCCACAGACACACACAGCGCACCCCCAGACACACACAGCACCCCCAGACGCACACAACACCCTCAGACAGACAGCACCCTCACTCCCACACATATACAGCACATATATTATATAAAAAAAACCCTCAGTGAGTTAACAGACAAATAAAATTAGAAACCCAGAATGTGACGGCAGATAAAAACACCCTCACACACAGCACCCCTCTTACACAAACACGCTGCGCCCCTCACACATACAATACGTCCAAATATATATATATATATATATATATATATATATATATATATATATATACACAAAAATCAAAACTGAGGATGCACTCACAGGACTTGGTTAAAGTGAAAAAAGGGACTTTTAATTATTCCATGTGAAATGTACAGAAAAATCAATTTTCCATTCACATGGAATAATTAAAGTCCCTTTTTTTCACTTTAACCAAGTCCTGTGAGTGCATCCTCAGTTTTGATTTTTGTATATTTCTGACGTTTGGGATATAGCACCCAGGCTATTAGTTCTTTCTTATTACTTAAAGGAGAGTGCCAAGCATCCTGTTTTTTTGAGATTATATATATTTATATATATATATATATATATATATATACACACACACACTACAGCACCCCTCACACTGCACCACTACACACATTACGCTCCAGATACACGCTAGATCCCTTACCCTATATGCACTCTTAATCCTCTACACACACACACAATCTTCTATACACACTCGGGGTCCTTTACACACTAGATCTCTTACACACACACTGCACCACCTACACACACACACTACATTCCTTGTAAGCAAACACATACAACATTATCTAAACACACCCTCTCTACACACAGTAGTGTGTGTGTATAAGTGACACACACTACGTCACCTATACACACACACTACTGCCCGTATGCACACACTCGCTACATCCCCTATAACACTATGCCCCTATACACGCACTCTCTACAGCCCCTAGCCACACATATTACACCACAAAATTGACCTATTTACACAATACCACACCACACTCTACACACAGGCAATCCCACAAGCATCCGCCAAACACATGCACCATACACTTTCCTGGCCCTTTTGTCCTCTGGTATCCCACTTGTGGAGACACCAGAGACAATTTAAAAGCAAACACAGCGCAAGCATGTTATTACATTTGCTTGCGTTGCGCAGAACAAATACAGGGCCTTTTTCTAATGCTGGAGCTCTTCAGCGGGGCTCTGCGCATTGAACCAACATGCTCACTTTCTCTGGCCCGCCCCCTTTTTGGGGGGCCGCTCTAATTGAAAAATGCCTGGGCCTAATTTTTTTCCCAGTCCGGCCCTGCCCTGAAGGCACCTTTCAGAGTAGCGAGAACTTGGGGAGTACTAATATTTGGATGTGCAGAGAGATGCATAAGCTCCCTTTTGTCAAGCATTTCATTATTTCTTATTATTTATTCAATGTTTTACTAGAATGGGACAAGGAAAATCTTTGTACTAGGATGAGCAGGGGAGGGCCAGCTACATTTGGCCTGGGGGCAACTGGAAAAATACAGCCTGATTTAAGAACAAAGCAGCAAACTCCACTCCCTTACTTGATTTTATATTGATTATAATTAATATAATAATATTAAGAAAATTCAGTTTAAAAATATTGTTTAATATAAACAATGCACAGCCCTGCACCCATCAGCAGTCCTCCCATGAGCGTGTATGTTCTGTTGACAATAGAGACAGATGCTTTAAAAGGGATGTTTTTAAGTCTGATGTCTGCTTGGCGTGCATGTCAGTCTGTGACACTCCCTTTCAGTGACCCTACTTAAACTCGCCATTTGTTACCAGCCAGTCTACCTGTGGGACATTGCAATTTTCTTAAGTACACAATGACATTACAATATTGAATAAACAGCCGTCCACCTATTTTGGATAGAATGGATTACGTGTCAGACAAATATATTGAACCCTGGCAAATGTCCTAAATTTCAGCACTATAAAATTGTAGTGTTTGAACATTTAAGGCGTAACCTGAAATGCTGTGTCTTATCTGGCAGAGTGCATTTGCTGCTAACCTTGGAAAGTTTGCACATGTCTGTATGCAAAGAGTCAGAGCCCATGCCAATTAAAGAGCGCTCTGAGCTTTATATCAGTGCCTCACTTCTCAAACTGCATCTGAACGGCAGTGAGACTCCACTGGCTTTGCCATCCGCAAGGTTTGTCCTTTGAGCAGAAAATCCGATTTTATAGTTAACAAAGACCTTTAAAAAAAATTAAATGGACAGTCCTGGTCTCAAAAATTAATCTGGTAATGCATCCTGACATCCTATTTATTATAAATAAATGTTTTACTAATAAAACATGATACAACAGATAAATGCAATGAAGAAAAGAAAAACAGCACCGACAATACATTAAAAATACCACGAAGTAAATCATACGAATTTGTATCACAGAGGATATTGAAAATATATTTCTTGACCCCCATATAACTCAAAAGACAGGATACAGAAGGTAGTGCAATAAACCAAGGTTATGTATATGGGCAGTTGATAGAAGAAGGAAAGAGGGATGACAAAGTGATGAGAAGAAAAGTCAAGGAGGAAGTGACAAAGGCTGAGCCTTCCACGTCTCTTGAAATTATCAGGGTATAAATGTCTTGGGATGCATTTTCTTCCCAAGAAAACAAAAAACTCAATGGGTTATGGTTGGCAAATTTGTGGACCGAATCGTGATCTCCATGCAATGTATCCTTTCAACCCCTTTAACACAGTGAGAAATTGTGTATAGAGATTGGACCATTTCCACCAAGAGAAACCACCAGCTTGGTAGAGCTGACAAACCTTACCACCATTAATTGTGATGCTTTATGTGTAGGATTATTATTATTATTATGATGTTATTATTTATATAGCGCCAACAAATTCCGCAGCGCTTTACAGTGCGTTGACGAACAAACATGTAGTTATAACCAGACAAGTTGGACACACAGGAACAGAGGGGTTGAGGGCCCTGCTCAATGAGCTTACATGCTAGATGGAGTGGGGTAAAGTGACACAAAAAGGTAAGGATAGTATTAGACTAATGACAGAGGAATAACGCATGCATGATGCCACCCAGAGGTGCTCAGAAAAAGGCTTGACATGTTATCCATAAAACACAGATTGCAAGTTCCCTTTCATGGAGATATATGTAATTTAAACACTGTCCTGGTGGCTGAAATCACTGCCCTAAGCACAGATGAATGTTTTTTTAACTTTCTAACAAACATTGCTACTGAGCATGCCTGCTGTGAATGCAATGTTTTCCCTCAGCTTATGAGGCTCTCCGACCGGAGTTTGACCATACGCACCTCTAAAAGCGCTCAGAATTTTTAATGCACTTTGGTAAATGAATAACTTTCTTAAAGAGGAGGACAGAGGAAAAATGGGGTTCTGCTTGAAACAGGAAGAGATAAAATAAAGACAGGATTGCAAGTAGGTGTAAAGAAAACTTGCATGTTGTTTTGCATATGGTCTTATTCAGTCGAGTCATGTGTAAGTCTCACTACATGA